AGCAGGGAGTGAGTGAGCTGTGCTCCAGCAGCCTCTTTCTTCCTGCTACCCCACACGCTGATCTTCTGTTATTCTGTCACAAGAGCCTGTGACTCATGGACACTGTGACTATTATGAGACAAATACAATATTCTTTATACTGAAGAAATCCTCGAATGCACATCATCAGAGGACCATGAGAGGGATTCATGGGTAGTTAAAACTAATGCCTTGCAGATGACAGTAGAAAGATAATAGTCTGGCATTATGGCCCCCAGACAATGGAGGTAATGCTTAGGCTACTCATGGAGACTGAGTAGACTACAGGGAGACACTTGTGGGAAGAAAAGCTATGTAGCCATTATCAGTCAAACTAACCCACCGACGAGACACTGTGGCATTGTTAGGATTGCTAGCCATCGTGGATGAGCTCAGCTTGACAACAGCTCCTGGATGACAGCTGTGTCTCACAAGCTTCCACTCTGCACATGTGGTGTCTCTGTCTTCTCGAAGCATCCCACTCTTCATATGTGACTGCCTACCTGCTCAGCAATAACACCACCATGGCCTCTCCAGTGCCCAGAGGTTTTTAACTGAAGGAAAGCATGAGGGCTCTTGGGACTCAAAACAAGATGAAGCAATGTCCAGAGAAGGAGAAATGTCATGGAAAATGGAAACTGAGACTTTGAATTAAGATGCTTAAGATGGGAAGTCAGAGCTGCCTGGAGTCACCACTTAGGGAAGGTATGAACCATCAGTAAGTGGAAGGTATGAACCATCAGGAACTCAACTACCGTCTAAGGAGCCTAAACTGCACTGAAAATCTCAACGCCAATATACATACCTTCTGACCCAATCCTTCACCTCTTGGGACATGCATAACATTAACAGGGGCATGTGTGCATGTGTTCTCAGAGGACAGTTCACTGTTTTTACTGAAGTGAAAACAACACAAACAAACATCTAGTGGGGATAAATAAATAGGACTAAAGAATGTTATAAGCAATGCATGTAATAACCTTCAGCTATACACACTAAAACGGATCAGTTTCGCGAGCCTACTGTTGAGGAAAAACAAGACCCCAGGGACGGGCCTTGGTTTATGTAAAAGATGAGGCATGAACCCGTGTGGCTTAGGCATTATAACGAGACAGTAGCAGACTCTCCAGAGAAGGAAGTGAGGATGAAACTAAGAATGGCCCCTGGCATCCCTCAAACAGGTAGGAAGAGGTTCTGGGTGTTGGGCGTTGTGATGATTCGTGTTCAGTGTAGATTTGATTGGACTTAGACATAGCTAGGTGATATCTCTATGCTTATCTGAGGAGAAACGACCCACCTTGAATGTGAGACACACCATTCTGTGTGCTGGTGTCCTGGACTGACCAAACAAGAAAAAAAGAGGAAGCATAGCTCCAACATTCATCTCTCCCTCCATGTCTGTGGCTAAAGTACATCAGGCTGCCTCCTGTTCTCACTGAGGTGTCTTTCCTGCAAGATGAACTAGTCCCTTCTTAAAGTGGGAGCCCACATAAGTCCTTTCCCCTTGAGCTGCTTTCGTTAGCTACTTTCTCACAAGGAGGAAAGTAACTAACATGGAAAGTTGGTAACAAGAAGTGGGGTTGATGTAATAAATCTGACCGTGTGGTTCATAGGCCATCAGAACTAGTTTGCAAGAAGCATATGTAGAATTTAAAGATGTGAGATAGAAAAATTCTAGAACACACTAATCAGAGTTAAATGGACCACTCTGGCAGAAGTTTAGAAAATGCGAAACGTAGAAGAAAACAGACATTAGAAGTCTGGTTTCATAGGAAATAAGAACTCTATCGCAAACTATTCATGTTACATTCTGGAAAATAGATCAGCTATATCCTGTGTATGCACTGAAATTTTTAATGAATCTAAATTTAAAAGCAATGGACAAATTGTTTGACAGAGGGCGTTTCAACATAGCCTACTATGCAAGCATGGTTACAAGTTACTGCTCTTAGCCAAATCTACAGTGAAAGAGAGCAAAAATTAGTGAAAATGTACAACTTGGCAAGTAAAGGAAGCCGAGAATGAGCTTAATGATGCCAGTGAGTGCAGAGAAAGCATTTGAAATTGTTAGGTTTGTGCCATTATAGAGAAACCTTATAGCAAGCAAGTTGATCTCTGTGAGTTCCAGGACAACTAGGACTCCATAGAGGAAACCCTGTCTCAAAGAGACCTGAGGGCAAGACCCCATTTACCAAAGGCTCCAACTTGTGAAAGCACACGTGTATTTGAAAGAAGAAAACGCCGCTGAAAGGGCCCCTTCCTCAAAATAAGCCACACTTAAGGAAATAGTTCCCAGGTTCAGCAATGAAGGTACACAGAGGCCTGAACAGCTCTGGGAGGAAGAAGTCAGATTATATCCTGCCCTGGCGGAGATCTGGCAGCATTAATTATCTGATGCCTCTTTTACAGACATGCAGAATGCAAAAGTTCTGGTATCATAGAAGCTTCCATCAAGGTTCCAGACTGCTATGAGACCAGACAGTGTGTGACGGGGCCATTTTCCCTGTGGGCCATTGAGTGAAGTAAAGCCTAAGTTGCATGGAGACACCAGGATATTGAAAATACGCCGACCATGGAATTTCCAACAAGAAAACATAGCGATTAAATGGAGCCCGCCCAAGAGAAAGGCTATGTGTACTGGAGGTATGAGACTACCAAAGCCCTTCCGGGTTGCAGATGATGAGCTTTAAAAACTTAAAAAAGGAAATTCTGGCGCCTGTATGACATGGACCCATCAGCAATGGAAAAACAAGGCTCTACATCAGCACCACTACTGCCTAACACTGTAGTGGACGTGCTAGCCAAATCAGTTGAAGATGCATGTATAAAGACTAAAGCGCAGACTGAAGCCCTGGAGACAGATGAAAAGTCAAAGGCCTTTACCAGGCCTTTGCTCAGCCTAGCCAACGTGTCCCAACTACAAATGTGCCTCACTCTGATGCTCACAGGTCTGTCGGTGGGCATAGCTGACAAAGAACGGGCTGAATTTCAGCTCCGTGTTCCTTCAGCCAGATGTCCTGCGCTGCATCTCAGTGGAACTGTTTGGGAAGGATTACAGGGCATGACCTTGTTAGAAGAGGTGTGTCACTGAGAGCAGAATTTGAGGTTTCAAAGCCCATTATATTTCCGGTTAGCTTTCTCTCTCTGCCTCAAAGTTGTGGATCAAATGTAGGCTCTCACCGACTTCCCAAGTGTCATTCCTACCTGCTTGCTGCCATGCTCCACACTATTATGGTGGCCTCTAACCCCCTGAAACTGTAAACCTCAATAACTTTTTTCTATGTGTTTCCTTGGTCATGAGGCCTTATCACAGCTAAAGAAAGTAACTAAGACATCCATTAAGTCATTATAGCAAAAAAAGTGGCAGTAACATGAATCTGTCTATAGGGAAATCTGTAAATAAGACAGCATCTCCACCCCCATGGAACCCGGTAGCTTTGAAAGTGAAGTTCCTATGTACAAAGAAGGCAGCAAGTGGACTCGATGTCACATGAAAATTAAGGTTGTGAAATGAAAGAAATTCAGAGTTTTAATATTTATTTACTTTCAATAATTTCATGCATTGAGAAATTCATTCATCTATATAGAAAAAATGAAAAAAAAGATTTTTTTTCTGTAATGGAAGCATGTGCTTCCTCTACACCCCTTACAAACTGATCAAAATATTCTACCAATGGTAGTGTTGGACTAGGGGGCCAGTATCTCAATATCTACCTTGTTTTGTCTTTTTCCTATTTAAGTCATATTTGTGGTTTGGTTTTTCAGATAAAAAAGTAGAATTTAAAGAAAGTCCCCAAGAGTGTTTTCTAACTTTTAAATAAGGATTTATTTATGTTTATTTATTTACTTATATTTATTTTGGTTTTCTGAGACAGGGTCTCTTTATGTAGCCTAGCTGTCCTGGAACTCACTCTGTAGACCAGGCTGGCCTCCAACTCACAGAGATCCACCTGCCTCTGCCTCCCAAGTGCTGGAATTAAAGGTGTGAGCCACCACCGCCCAGCAGGATTTATTAAATGTTAGTGATATCTTCTTTGAAGGTTATTTTATTGGTTACCCCAGCAAAACATTGGTTTTCACCATCCTGTAACCCTAGTCATCCCCCAATTTTGCAAAATAATGAGCCACCTGGGCCATGGGGAGAGGCTCCCTCAGAAATCCCGGGCTGAAAACAGAGGCTTTCTTCAAGGTATCCCACTGCATTCGTCACGTGAGTTTGCTTGTGGAAACAGCACCACTTTTCTGCCAAGTGCCTCTGAGTGCTCTTCTCCTCAGACAAATGGAGTCATCTTCCCAGACCATTCCTAGTCAAAGACGGAGGTGAGAAATCCAGCAGTGCAGGAGGGCTGGCTGCAGTCCAGGAAGGGAGGAGGCAAGCATTGCTCCGTGTGAGCCTCACCCAAAACACGTCCACACCCTCTGAGCCACCCACATGCAGACAGCCACACGTGCTGACTCCAACGCTAGCTCTGTCATTGAGAATAAGGTATGGAAACATACTTTTAGAGAGAACAACTATCGCAAAGCTTTCTCTCCACAGAAGGGATAGTCTGTAGACCCAAGGAGGCACATTTCCCAGGGTGCCGTGGGACGACAGGTGACCTATGGGAGAAAGCACCTTTGTGGATGTGTGGTAAAGCCAGAGTCACGCACCTGACCAATTCACCCAGGACTGTGGCTGACCGGCTGCCATGCAGAGCCCTACAAGAATGCGGCTGTGAAGGATCCCCAGGATTGGCTCTTCCCTGTTCAGCCCTAGGTTAAGCCATTCTCGAATTTTCTATTCCCAGCAGGGCACAGACCAATTAAGGGGGCTCTGGAAGGTTATAGTGCATCTGACCCCTCGGGGACTCACCCTGCTGTCCCAGCTGTGTGCCCCCGGAACACACTGCCCTGAACATGTCATTTTGTCCTTCAGTTTATGTTCTTAAACACTTTGCCCTCATCACTCCTGTGACGTAAGTTCATCTATTTCCCTTTTGTAAAATAAAACCACGCAGGGCAATGAAAATTTAATTTTTTCTTTTTAAATTAGAGGTCAGTTTTTCCTCAGGTAACGTTAGTGTTTGTTGTTCTGAAGGCATCTGAAGAGAGCTGCCAGTTCTAAAAGGGGGGAGAGATGATGGCACTGTCTTGGACACAGCAGCTTTTCTCAGAAGTACCCCATAGCCAGAGGTATGGCGTGGTGGAGGTGACAGCAATGCCCCATGGCCCAGGAGGTGACAGCGGTATCCCATGGTCCAGGAGGTGACAGCAGTATCCCACGGTCCAAGAGGTGACAGCAGTGCCCCATGGCCCAGGAGGTGACAGCAGTATCCCACGGTCCAGGAGGTGACAGCATATCCCACGGTCCAGGAGGTGACAGGATTATCCCCATGGTCCAGGAGGTATGGAGTGTTAGCAGTGACAGGCGGCAGCTGCTGCTCATATGAGCTCTTGTTCCAATCAGGTAACATGCCTTCCTCCTTCCTTTTGTCTCCAAAGGCCATTAGTCCCCACCAACATGAAACACAGATCCTTGGTGATGAGATAGGGGTGGTCACCTCTTCCAGTAACAGCAGAGTTGTGAGACGTGGCCCAACTTCCACACTGCCACCACGTCCTTCCAGTGTCTTCTCCCCCTCAGACTCAACACCCCCGTCAGAACCTGGAAGAGTGGTTCTTTGTAGGTGTGAGACGAAATTACTACAGACGGTCAAGTCCTGCTCCTCTCACTCCCCTCCTCCTCGCCCTCAGAACCACACAGCCATCATCTACACAGCAGAATGACCCTTCGGCACCGTTTGTGTGGTCACACTGAGAAGTGTGAGCTCCGGTCAAAGTGTGTCCACACCTGAGAGTGTAAGTGTGTGGGGGTGAGTTGGGTTAGGAATGCGCATGCACACACGTGTGTTGGGTGAGTTTGCATGAGCATGTGAGTGAGCCTGTGAGTGTAGACTGTGTGTGCGGGGGGGGGGTATCTTAGCTAATAAGCTAGACTTTGAATTCATAATCATATAAAGCCACCAACTCAAATAAAGACTATTTCTCATCAACTCAAGAAAGGCTTTATAGCTTTGGTAGAAACTCTACCGAACTTACCTTCAGGCAGACATGACCCAGCAACAGATAAGAAGGGTTTCACACACACACACACACACACACACACACACACACACACACACACACAGCAGGGAGTTATGAGCACGTATATAAGTGATCTGGGAAACAAGGTGCCTCGGTTTCTCGCTGAGAATCTGTTTGCTCCAGTTCGCAGAGGGAACACTGATTCCTGTCTTCACTCCGCTTAGTCCCCTGCAATCAGCAGACTTGACTCACCTGACTTGGTGACTGTATGTCCCATGAAGATGTATTGGAGATTATGTGAAGTGACGTTTATGTAAAGACAATGTAAACGGAGTCTACAGGGAAAGCCGCCATGCACACCTGTTCCCCCTCCCCCTGCACACTCACTCTTCCTACAAAGCTCAAGCACAGTTGAGAGTGTGCTAATGGCTCATGTTGAGACTTTCAGGTCCCAGAACATTCCCAAGACTGTGAAGTGGGGCCCCGGGGCCACTTTCTAACTTCTCCATGACGCCAGGCTGGGAGGGGCTGGAGTGTGAACACAAAGCAAGACAGACCGACTATCTTTCTCCTTCACGTCGCCTGTGTCACCACTTCCCCAAGAGACAAAAGCGACCCGTGGCCACTCTTTTACTGAGGTGGTGACTGTCCTTTGCGCTTTAAGTCATCATTGTTTGGTTAATAAACATCTACCATCTGCTCTGAGTGCTTAGAAGAGAAAGATGAGTAAGACAGCGGTGCGGGGGCGGAGAGATGGCTCTGCAGTTAAGCAGAACCCGTGCTTCTCTTGCGCAGGACAGGGTGCAGTTCCCAGCATCCACACGGAGGCTCATAACTGCCTGTTACTCCAGTGCTGGGGGATCTGATGCCCTGCTTGACGTCCAAGGACACCAAGCATGCGCGTGCGCATGGCGCACATAAAGACGTGAATACAAAATACTTGAGCACATCAAGAACTGAGGTTAAGAAAGAATCAGATGTCTGCCCGTGTTATGGCTACAGGAACTGGATTTCCCATATCACTGCCTTGTGTTGATACTGCACTTGGAGTTTATACTTTCTTTTTTTAAGATTTATTTATTTATTATGTGTACAGTATTTTGCCTGCATGTATGCTTATAACCAGAAGAGGGCGCCAGATCTCATTACAGATGGTTGTGAGCCACCATGTGGTTGCTGCTCTGGAGGAGCAGCCAGTGCTCTCAACCTCTGAGCGATCTCTCCAGCCCCGGTTTCACACTTTCTTAATACCAACAATTATAGTCAAGTTCTTTCAAAAACTATCTGTTACGAACACTTTAGAATCACGGTTTCTGTGTGAAGCATATGGCATGGAGTGGACATGGAGAAAAAGCAGCTAACATTGCCACTACTAAATGCAAACCGTTTGTTTTAGTGGGGACAAAAAACTTGTTTATCCCCCCTGAAACAGCTGACCCAAACAAGGGGGAGCTCTTGAATCCCAGACTGATGGCTGGGAATCCAGCATGGGACTGAATGTGAGTGTCAATGAGGAGGCCTAGGCAATCTATGGGGCCTTGGGTAGTAGATCAGTATTTATCCCAGGTATACAAATGGACTTTGGGTGCCCATCCAACAATGAGAGATGCATTCTCACCCTGGACTCTTGGGGTTGGGTCTAGGCCCTGCCCTGGATGAAATGACAGACTATGGACACCCCCAAGGAGGGCCTCACCCTCCCTGGGGAAATGAGGGGATACTGGGGGGATTGGTGGGAGGGCACGGGAGGAGGGGAGGGAAAGGGAGAGGGACCTGGGATTGACATCTTAAGCAACCTTGTTTCTAATTTAAATTTAAATAAAAAAAAACTTGTTTATCTCATTTACTAGGCCTCTGAGTACCAAGCCTAGTATCTGGAACACACTAGACATTTGATAACAATGCTATCACAGTCTTTCATGTACAGAGATGACTAATACCAAGTGTCACATTTCATCAACTAAAAGAGGAACATTAAGAATCTGTGCCCACCATGGTGAAGGCCTAGGCCCTGCCCTGGATCATATGACAGACTTTTGAGATCCCCCACCTTCCTTGGAATGTGGAGTGGGGTTTGGGGGAGGGGTTGGGGGAGGGTTGAAGGGGGGCAGGAGAGGAAGGGAGGGAGAGGGAACTGGGATTGACATGTGAAGCAAACTTATTTCTAATTTAAATTAAATTAAAAAAGAATTTATGCCCACCAGGGATGTTGGTACATGCCTTTAATACTAGTACTGGGGAAGTAGAGACAGGCAGGCAGGCGGGTGGGTCTCTATGACTTTAAGGCTAGCCTGATCTACATTGTCTATGTAATGAGTTCTGGGCTAGCCAGAGATACCCTATCTCAGAACAATAAAAATAAAAAAGTAAACAAGGAAAGAAAGAGAGAGAGAGAGAAAAAAAAGGTTTCCAGTCATAGATAGAAACCTTCAAAACCATGAGACAAAATAGTCTTTCCATGCATGTATGTGTCTGTCTATATGGTACATATGCATGATCTATGTGCATGTCATGAGAGCTGCATGCCCACACTTGCATGTAGAGACCAGGGAAAGGTTTGGGATATCTGATTCTATCACTCTCTACCCTGTTTTTTTGGAGAGAGTCTCTCAAGAGATCTAGAACTAAGCTGGCAGCTAGCCTCCTGTTTCAACCTCCCTTAGTTCTGGGGTCACAGATGTATGTTCTAGAGATTTAAACTCAGGTCTTCATGTTTAAACTCCTCTATGGAGCCCTCTCCACACATGCACTCGCATGTGCACCTCATCCTGCCTGAGCACCCTGAGCATGTGATTACAGGCTTACCCCACTATTTAGACTCAGCTTTTTCTCCTTCTGTGCTGATCATTTCTGTAGTTTGTAGGATGGCAAGTTTCCTGATGCACCCTGTGTATACTGTACCAGACAATCCCTAATTTAAGGTTTCCTAGAAAAGGACTCTACCCCAGTTTTCTTTAAGGGTGTGGCCCTTAGTAAGTCCACCATGCATCAGAATAGGCTCTACATCCAAGAGTGTTTTGACATCACAAATTGGATTTGTTGGTTTTAAAGCAAAAAGGGCAGGGATGTTGGTAGGCAGGGAAGTTGGGGTAGATGTGGGAGGACTTGGGGGTGAATATGATTAAAATACATTGTATGAAATCCTCAAATATTTGTGTTTTAAAAGGGGGCCCCTCTCCCCTTAAAAAGGCCCATTATGGCAGTTCTCAAGCATATTATCATCTGCTCCCTCTGCATGCTCTGCTGTCTACTGCAGGAAGATGGAAGGAGACAGGAGAGCCTGGCCAGCAGCTACAAACCTGGTATCCATCCATTTTGGCTCAACAGGGTTCAAAGACAGGTGAATTTCGGATAAGGCGCCTCTCCAAATATTTGCTTTTGGTAACTGAGGTTGAGATGATTATCGATGCCATGAAAAACAAGATAAAAGGGAAGTCACTATGAGTCCCTAATAGTGGCAGCAGAGCTGCTCTGCTCTTGGCATGACCCCGGCCATGCACAGCTTCCTCTCAGTGGCGGCTCTTGATGGGTTTCTTGTGAAATCACTTATGAGACAGCGACAGGGCTGTTTCAGAACCTCAGAACCAGGAAACCATTCCCTGGAAGAACAGAGGGAGGCTCAATGTGGTTGCCCTAGATGAGGTGAGAGAAGTTTCCAGTTTCCACAGAACTGTCTCCCAGCCTGCCCCTGTGCATCTCTCTGTGGGACCCATACCCCACAGGCAGTTCCTCAGCACAGACAGTCCTTGTGTTGGGTCTCAAATGACCTCGGAGTCTCACGTGGTCATCAGAATGGCTCTCTATGAACAGGCATGCTCTCAGAGGAGATATGGGAGCCTAGCCTCCACACACCTTTTTTACTAAGCTATGGAGTGAATGGCTTTGCTCCGCCACATTCTGCCTCACTACAGTTCCAAAAGTAACAGGGGCAATGTGCGGTGGACTGGAACCTATCATAATGTGAACCAAAATAAACTCCATCCCTTGAGGTGTCCATCATCTTAGGTAACTAACTCCTACGGACGCAGAAAGCTCACTAATAACCACTGTGCACACTGTACCCTGCCATTCCCCATCACCTGAGGTCATCCCATGGTCCCTTCTATGTGAGACCATGTGAACTTTAACATGTATTTCCCTGCTCAAGGCTATGCCGCTGGCTGAAGATTGACTTTGCTCTGAAGTGACGTATCTCTTCTTTCTGGGACTTCACAGAACTCACCTTAGGCAATGGTGTGATAGAGCAGGAGCTTTATGGCCTCAAATGAAAAATCCCCAGTAAAAGTTTCTTAATATAAAAATATGAAAATGATACCCGAAAGAGACCTTTTCTTACCAACATAATCTCAAAGGAGAGAAACACTCTAGTGCATTGGATACACTCACCTTCATAGTTCATTAATGATGAAATTCTCATCCTGAGGACATCGCTAAACCCTGTCATTGTGACTAGTTAATGAGGCTTAAAACTAGGACCAGTCATGCCCAGACCTGCAGGAGGTTTTGATCGTGTGGGAAGCTAAGTCAGAGAGAGGCATCACTATTCAAGGTTGGGATGGAGCAAGAGCTACTTCCAAAATGCATCTTTATAGGAAAGCCCATGGAAGTGCAGTGAAGTTTCAAAAATGTTTTATGCTGGATAAGATATAAAATTAAATGACAGGTAGATATCCACAGTCAACCAACCTTCAAAATGCATGTTGGCATTACCAATATATTGTCAGTTTTCATGACTCATAGGTTTTGTTTACAAATCTTTTATTCACTAAAATTTATTTCTTACCCCAAAATAGAAGTTTACTCTGTTTTCACAGTTGGTTACGGATGTATGACAGGACAGTTAAAGTTGTCCAAGTGTGACCCCAGCTGAACCAGGACACACCCTGCCCTCATATTCCAGCCTTCAGACCACAAGCAGAAGTCCTGGCTGCCTCGGCATTGAGTCCTATTTTCATATTCCTGGTTGGGTTTTCACTGCTCTTAACAACCCCTGCCTGTGCTAATGGGGCTTGTCTAAAGTCTGTGAGCACATGAGATAGGATGAGCCCAAGGGAAGATCAGTGTGCTGTAGAAACTATACAGAGAGGACCAGAGCAACTCCGTGGTGTCAGCACCAGCAAAGCCTTGTATTCTATCCCAAACATGACACAAGGTGAATGTCATCCAGGCATGACTCTCAGAGCTTGCAGCTATGAGCTTCATGTCTGTGAGCAAACAGCACGTGTCCAAGCCATCTTCAGATGAAACCCTATAGGGCAAGATGGCATTCTGACCAGTTGACGGAAAGCCCTTGAAGGAGTCTAACACTGTAGCTCCCCTAGGAACAATTGTTCTGTGAAAAAGTACCCTGAAGTACCAGGGTACTTCACTCCAAATCCTCCCAGACCAGTGAAAGTGCAGCTAGTACCAAACTGTACCTATGTGGTATGGCCTAACACGTTTAAAAGAAAGCTCAACATGCAAATTAGGTGTAGTAAGAAACATGGTCAATAATACAATAGACTGATTATATGAATATATTGTAACAAATGCTATGAAGACCTTATGAAATGCTTCTGTCTAGAAATCTCTACAAAATTTTTTCAGGGTATGGATTAAGAAGGGGCCTATATTTACTACTTAGGGGTTTCAGTTTATAACTGGCGATTAAGGCTGGACTGAAAGTGTCCAGGTTTGTGTCTTCTTATTCAAGAAAAATGAGTACACAAATAGTACAAAATAGAAAACTCCAAAGGTAAACAATAGCACATATCAGAAAGAAATATGCAATCGTGAGTAATAGCAGTCCTCAGCTTGCTCAATGCCCTGATTTGTGTTTGGGCTTCTCTTTATGGAGTTTAAGAAAGTGGAGTTTTGGCAGAACCACAGCAGATCCCATACTGACAGGGTCCAGCCTACCCAAAGATTGCCAAGGCCCTTGAACTAGGACTGCATCCATCCACGCAAGAGGAAAGCCTCCAGAGTATTGGACCTGCTCACACCTACCAGAAAGGAACCATGGTCACATACCCACTAGGAGAGGAAGAGACTCCTTCTGCACCCACTGGAAGAAATGACAGGAAGGAGACAATATAAAAACACACCCAGCAACAGAAAAACCAATATGACACCACCAGAGTCTAGAGATTCTATACCCACAAGACCTGAACAACCCAATGGAGATGATGAAGATGAGAAAGACCTTAAAAACAACTTCATGAAAATGATAGGGGCTTTCAAAGAGGATATGAGAAAATCCCTTAAAGAAATGGAAGAAAAAACAAACCAAAAAAAAATCTAACAAATGCAAGAAGGAGAGGAAAAAACACAGCAAAAAATTGCAAGAAACAATTCAAACAGTGTAAGGGTTGAAAGTTAAAATAGAGACTAAAAAAAAACAACACAGTCTGAAGGAATGCTGGAAATAAAAAAGCTGAGCAATCACTACAGATGCAAGCATAACCAACAGAATACAAGAGATGGAAGAGAGAATCTCAGGTGTTGAAGATACACTAGGAGAAATAGATTCATTGACCAAAGAAAATCTTAAGTTCAACAAATCCCTAACACAAAATATTCAGGAAATATGGGACACCGTGACAAAACCTAAGAATAATAGGTATAGAAGAAGGTGAAGAAAACCACCTCAAAGGGACAGAAAACATATTCAACAAAATCATAGAAGAAAACTTTTCCAACCTAAAGAAAGACATGCCAATGAAGGTACAAGAAGCTTACAGAACACCAAATAGAGTAGACCAAAAAGTCCTATCGCCACATAATAATCAAGACCCCAAACATACAGAATAAAGAAAGAATATTAAGAGCAGCTAAGGAAAAAGGTCAAGTAACATATAAAGGCAAACCTATCAGAATTACACCTGACTTCTCCATGGAAACTCTGAAAGCCAGAAGGTCCTGGATAGATATTCTACCAACATTAAGAGACCATGGATGCCAGCCCAGACTACTATACCCAGCAAAGATTTCAATCACTATAGATGGAGAAAACAAGGTATTCCATAACAAAACCAGATTCAAACAATACATATCCACTAACCCAGCACTACAGAAAGTTATGGAAGGAAAACTCCAACACAAGGAAGTTAACTACAACCAGAAAAACATAGGCAATAGATGATAATCCCACCTTACCAACAGCCAAAAGAAAAAAAGGTGGAAATTCACATATAATTCCACCACCAACAACCATTCCAAAATAAACACGAATGAGCAATCAATGGTCATTAATATCCCTCAATATTAATGGTCTTAACTCACCCATAAAAAGACACAGGTTAACAGAATGGATTTGAAGACAGAACCCATCCTTTTGCAGCAAACAAGAAACATACCTTAGCCTCAAAGACAGATATTACCTCAAAGTTAAAGGTTGGGAAAAGATTTTCCAATCAAATGGACCCAAGAAACAAGCAGGGGTAGCAATCCTGAAATCTAACAAATTAGACTTTAAAATAAAATGAATCAAAAAAGATGAAGGAGGTCATTATATACTCATCACAGGAGAAATTCACCAAGCTGAAGCTTCAATTCTGAACATCTATGCCCCAAATACAACAGCGTCCATGTTCATAAAAGAAACATTACTAAAACGCAAATCACATACAAAGCCCCACACACTTCTCACCACTAGACAGGAATACCAGACAGAAACTTAACAAAGAAGCAAAGGAACTAATAGAAGTTATGACCCAATTGGGTTTAACAGACATCTTATAGAACATTCTAACCAAATAAAAAGGAATATACCTTCTTCTCAGCACCAAATGGAAACTTCTCAAAAATAGACCACATACCAAACCTCAACAGGTACAAAAAACTGGAATAACTCCATGCATCTTATCAGACCACCATATGTTGAAATTAGAATTCAACAACAGCACAAATTGAAGAAACCCTACAAACTCATGGAAATTGAATAATGCACAATTGCACTATTTCTGGATCAAAAAAGAAATTAAAGATTTCTTAGAATTCAATGAGAATGAAGACACAACATAACAAAAACTATGGGACACTTTGAAAGCAGTGCTAAGAGGAAAGTTCATAGCACTACGTGCCCACATGAAGAAACGGGAGAATAGTCACACTACAGAATTAACAGCACAACTGAAAGAAGCAAACTCACCCAGGAGGAGTAGACACCAGGAAATAATCAAATTGAAGGCTGAAATCAATAAAGCAGAAACTAGGAAAACAATACAAAGAACCAATGTAAGGAAGAATTGGTTCTTTGAGAAAATCAACAAGATAGACAAACCTTTATCCAAACTTATGAAACAGCAGAGTGTGAACATGCAAATTAACAAAATCAGAAATGTAAAGGGGAACATAACAATGAACAGTGAGGAAATCCAGAGAATCTTCAGGTCATACTTTGAAAACTTGTACGTCACAAAATTTGAGAATGTAAAGGAAATGGACTATTTCTGGATAGGTATCATTTGCTAAAATTAAATCAAGAACAGATAAGCAATTTAAATAGACCTATAACACCTAAGGAAATAGAAGTAGTCATCAAAAGTCTCCCAATGAAAAAAATCCCAGGGCCAGATGGCCTCAGTGCATAATTCTACCAGAAATTCAAAGAACAGCTTATACCAATTCTCCTCAAAGTATTCCACGCAATAGAAGCAGAAGGGTCTTTGCCAAACTCTTTCTATGAGGCTTCAATAACCTTGATCCCCAAACCACACAAAGACACAACTAAGAAAGAGAACTTCAGACCAATTTCCCTCATGAACATTGATGCAAAAATACTCAATAAAATACTGGCACATCGAATCCAAGAACACATCAGAAAATTCATCCACGATGATCAAGTAGGCTTCATTCCAGGGATGCAGGGATGGTTCAGCATACAAAAATCCATCACTGTAATCCACCATATAAACAAGCTGAGAAAAATCACATGATCATCTCACTAGATGCTGAAAAAGCCTTTGACAAAATCCAACACTTCTTCATGATAAAAGTCTTGAAGAGATCTGGGATAACGAGAACTTACCTTAACATAATAAAAGCTATATCCAGCAAGCCAACAGCTAACACCAAACTAACTGGACAGAAACTCAATGGGATTCCTCTAAAATCAGGAACAAGACAAGGCTGTCCATTCCATACCTTTCCAATATTGTCCTTGAAGTTCTATCTAGAGAAATATAACAACAAAAGGAGGTTAAGAGGATACAAATTGGAAAGGAGATGTCAAACTTTCACTATTTGCAGATGATATGATAGTTTACATAAGTGACCCAAAAAACTCTACCAGGACACTCCTACAGCTGATAAATACCTTCAGCAAAGTGGCAGGATACAAGATCAACTCAAGAAAATCAGTAGCCGTACTATATACAGACGATAAAAGGGCTGAGAAAGAAATCAGAGAAACATTGCCCTTTACAATAGCTACAAACAACATAAAATACTTTGGGATAATGCTAACAAAACAAGTGAAAGACCTGTATCGCAAGAACTTCGAGTCTTTAAGAAATTAAAGAAGACATCAGAAAATGGAAAGATCTCCCATGCTCTTGGATAGGTAGGATCAACATAGTAAAAATGGCAATCTTACCAAAAGCAATATACAGCTTCAATGCAATTCCCATTAATATCCCAGCACAATTCTTCACAGACCTTGAAAGAACAATTCTCAACTTTATATGGAAAAACAAAAGGCCCAGGATAGCCAAAACAACCCTCTTCAACAAGGCAACTTTTGGAAGCAGCTATAGTTCTGAAAACAGCTTGGTATTGGCACAAAAATAGACAGACCAATGGAATCAAAGTGAACACCCTGACATTAACCCATACACGTATGAATACCTGATCTTTGACAAAGAAGCTAAAATTATACAATGGAAAAAAGAAAGCATCTTCAACAAATGGTGCTGGCATAACTGGAAGCTGACATGTAGAAGATAGATCCATGTCTATCGCCATGCACAAAACTTAAATCCAAATGGATCAAAGACTTCAACATAAATCCAGCCACACTGAACCTGTTAGAAGAATAAGTGGGAGGTACCGTTGAACTAATTGGTACAGGGGACAAAGGGTGCTCAACCATAAAATTATTTTTGCTGCTCTTTCACATCTGTAATGATGCTACCATTGTGAATTGTAATATAAATATCTGTGTTTTCAATGGTCTTAGGCGACCCTTGTGGAAGGGTGGCAACCACAAGTTGAGAACAGCAGCATTAGACGCAAGCGAGCTGTACTTTTGTGTAGGTACTGGACACTCAACGCCTTTGGGTCGAAACCACCGTCTGCCATCCGCAAGACATTTCTGGTGGAGCACAAAGGCCCCGACATGCTGCTTCAATAGGATCTTCAGCCAGTTGGAAGCACGATCAACTCGCTCCCTCCTCCATCCTTACACAGCTTTCTGGTTCCTAGTAGAAACAGCCAAGGGCAGTTTCCTTAGAAAGAAACAGAGAAGGCAGAGCTGTATTCACACTCATGAGGAACTCCTGCGAGAGTTCTTTCCCTAGCTCGCATTCGGTCAAGATCTACTCAGTCAGAAACATGGAGGCTGAGCTACAGCTCATTGGGCCAGCACATGGTCCGCAGGCACGAGGCTCTGGCTCCACCTGGGCATCCTAAGGAGAATCATCAGATACACCCCCGTTTGTGATTGCGCTTCCTCCAGCTCCAGTTTCCCATGCCTAAACACTGGTAATATGAGACGGAAAGTTCTAGAAGCACATAGTTCATACGGTTGATTTTCTAAAATTTGTTTTTATGTATTCGGGCGTTTTGCCTGGGTGTGTGCCTGTGTACAACGTGCATGGATGATGCGGGAGGAGGCCATAAACGGTGTCAGATCCTGAAGGGAGTTGGTTGTGGGCAGCAGCCTCTGGGTGCGGGGAATCAAGCCTGAGCCCTCCAGAAAAGCTGTCAGTGATCTTAACCATAGAGCTATCTCTCCAGCTCCCAGTTCACAAGTTTTAAGTGTTTTTGTTTGGTTACTTAGTTGTTTTTTTTTTTGTTTGCTTGTTTTGTTTTTGTTTTTTTTTTCGATATAGGGTTTCTCTGTGTAACTCTGACTTGCTCTGTAGACCTGTCTGGCCTCAAACTCAGAGATCCACCTGCCTTTGCCTTCTGAGTGCTGGGATTAAAGGTTTGAGCCCTTCTGTTGTATTTATAGTATGTTATAAACCTATTAGATGCACAGGGTTAAAATTGGTCTGTTGACTACCAGGTGCTAATTTATAAGTTGCAGTATTTATCATGAGAAGGCACGTGCAGGAAGAAGCAGCATGGGTGGCATTTCCTTTGCCCTCATTTTCCTGTACCCTTGCCTTGGAACATGTGCCTCACGGAGAAGAATTTCAATCAGCCTCCATGAATGTTTTTCTGTAATGATTCTGGTTGGAAGTTGGCTATGGCAGCATGTATGTATAGTCTCAACATTTAGGTGGTGGACACAGGAGGATCAGGAGTTCAAGGTCCTCCTCAGCTACCTAGAATGTTCCAGACCGGCCTGAGCTACACGGGACTATCTAAAAATGAGTAAGTAAGTAAAAATCACTCTAGTTGGTCTTTAACAAGAACCACATTCAGATGGCATGTGTTCATTTCAGTTGGGTCACTCACAGCTATTGGTTGAGCTTGGCTTTGCCTGACTTCAAAGGGCTCTAAGACTGTGGTTCTCAACTGTGAGTCTCACCTCGTTCGGAGGTCAAACGACCCTTTCACAGGGTTCACATATCAGATGTCCTGCATATCAGATATTTACATTATGATTCATAACAGTAGCAAAATTACAGTTATGAAGTAGCAATGAAAATAATTGTATGGTTGGGGTCAGCACAACATGAAGAACTGTGTCAAAGAGTCATAGCATTAGGAAGGTTGAGACCACTGCTCTAGACACAGGTATCGTCTAAGGACAAAGACAAAGCTCAAGGATTCCTCCTGCTACCACAGTTTGGTCTTCTTGGCATTTTACAGGTGCCAAAGTGGCCAAAGTGGCCCATGATAGGTTAAGAAGAAAATTCACTTCTATAAGTACATCTCCCTTGACATGTCTTCCTACTTCCCATACACACACAGAAAAAAAAAAAAACATGGAGCATTCCAGCACCCTGATCTTATGCAGTGTTTAAAAGAGAAAGAAAAGAAGACTGTCTAGACTTAACCTGAAAACTGAAGGGTACAGCCAAGGCAGCATGGTTATTAAGAATACGCACTGGAAAATCCATAACACACACACACACACACACACACACACACAGCAAAAGGTCCCCCCCCAATCCCCAGGTGCAGCGTGCATATTACATGACGTGATAGCTCCGCAGCTCTAAAGAGATACATTACTAGATTGAAATAACACATTTTTCCTTTGAACTGATGAAAAGATCCCAGGGCAATTTTCAAGGCTGGGCCGGGTGTTTGTGAAGAGTGAAGTAATTCACAAGAGGTTTGGTAGGTTTGGGTAAATACTCCACGGGCGAGAGGAAAACAGATGCAAAACCTTACCTTCATGGGTATAAGGAGAAGCTTTTGCTCCTTGGGTGAGTTTTCTGGAAGCCCAGCAGAGGCTACGTCCATCCCACACATGCCCAATGCGCTGGGCAACTGGGCTCGCCAGGCCTGTTTGTGGACAGCATGTGCTAAACCAAAGAAACCCAGAGCCTGATGCTGTGGAACAAAGTCCCAGGTGAGTGCTTGGAGTGGGTCCCAACAGCCTGCTGCAGGGCGGCTTCTGCTCAGGAGAGAACAGAGTGGGGAGAGGACATGGCAGGGGCCGGAAGGTGTCCTCCTCTCCTTTGGCCTGTTAACAACAGGAACGGATCTTTAGGAGGAGGTTGCCAGGAAAGGAAGAGTCCCCTGATTTCACTGGTCTTCATTTCCCTGCCCTTGCCTCTGCAGAAGAGGGCAGCATACAACCTTTGTGTGACTCCTGTGGGTGAGTGTAAGGGTGTGTACGTGTGTGCATGTGTGTGTCTGTGTGTGTAACTGTGTCTGTGTATGTATATGTGTGTCTGTGTGTGTAACTGTGTCTGTGTATGTATATGTGTGTCTGTGTGTGTAACTGTGTCTGTGTATGTATATGTGTGTCTGTGTGTGTAACTGTGTCTGTGTATGTATATGTGTGTCTGTGTGTGTAACTGTGTCTGTGTATGTATATGTGTGTCTGTGTGTGTAACTGTGTCTGTGTATGTATATGTGTGTCTGTGTGTGTAACTGTGTCTGTGTATGTATATGTGTGTCTGTGTGTGTATAGGTATGCATGTGTTTGTGCATGTGTGTTTGTGTAACGTGTGTGTGTGTGCCCATGGGCACTCATGCTTTGGAAACCTATTTATTACTTTGCTGTCTTTGAAAAATACCTGGGGGAGAGATGGGGAGACGGCTGAGGAGTTGAGAGCACTGGGTGTTCTTGCAGAGAGCCAGGTTACTGCCAGCGCCCACAGGTTTACAGCTTTATAACCAACAACCTGAAACTCCAGCCCCAGGGGATCTGACACCTTCTGGTTTCTCCAGGTTCCTGCACACATGTGCATACATGTAGACAAGACACTCATACACATAAAGCAAAAATAAAGAAATCTTTAAAAAGAAAAACCAGGGCAAAAGCACAAAGGCTAACTGCCTAAACAAAAACAAAAATTCTAGAAGGGCAGCTTAGCCTGGGGGCAGGGTTTCTTGCAGCTGCTTCTCTGGCCTCAGTGGCTTCACAGAGCAGCCAGGTGCCAACTTTGCTTGCCGGAGACTCTCCCCAGTAAGAGGGCAAATGATCCCTAATATATCTCACAAGCTGAAACTCAAACTTGAGAAAGTACTTACATTGAAAGTTTCCACTCCACAGTGGGTTCCAGAATCTTACGATATCCCGACCAATCACTAAGACAACAAAGCAAACCCCTGGAATCCAGAACCCTGGAAATCAGCCAAGTCTTCGGGCTGGATGTGGCTCAGCGGTAGAGCAGTGTCCTTGTGTGCATGGGGCCCTCGATCCTGGAATGATAAGAGGGAGGGGGAAGCTAACAAGGAAGGGAGGAAGTCTGCCTTCTAAGTCTGCCTTCTCACAGAAGGGATTAAATTAGTCATGCTCTGTCTAACCCCTCGGCCAATAAAACAGTTCTCAAAGCTACAGCCCTCCAAGGTAGCACTGCCCTCTGCCTGTCCACCTAAACAGTATTTTGTGCCTTGTGGCAGTGATGAGGACAAAAGGAAGACAGCTGGTTGAGTGACACCAGGCATGCTCAGGGACGTTCAGGAAGTCTTCCTGGGGACCCAAACTGAAGAGGCCCCAGGGAGAGGAACCCACATCTGAAAGTGGTCTTCCCACAGTTCTGGGCATCATCTGTTTTATTTGTTCAAGTGTCTTTTCCTAGTTCAGCTTCCCATTGCTGGGACAAAACATTGATAAAAACTAACTTAGGAGAGGGAAGGCAGGAACCTACTTTATCTTAGAATTCCCAGGTCACGATCCATCCCTGGGGATGTCAAGGCTGAAATCTGGAAGTAGGAACTCAAGCGGAGACCCTGGAGGAGTGCTGCTTGCTGACTTGGTCTCCATGGCTTGCTCAGCCTGCTTCCTTGCACAACCCAGGGGTCACCAGCCCAGAGTGGCACCACCCACAGCAGGCTGGGTCCCCCCGAATTAATTATTAATCAAGAAAATACCCCGCAGGCCTGCCTATAGGCCAGTCTGTTGGAGGCCCTTCCCCCAAATAACCCTAGCTTGTGTCAAGTTGACGGAAAAACCTAGCCAGCATGGCGGCTTCTCATGGACCTCTTAACAGTGGCCACTCTACTGGCTGGATTTTTGGTGGCACAAGTCATTTTACAGCTTTCTGGATGCTCAGAAAACATGAGCCAACAGAATTGAGTTTGCTGGAAGCATCCCGGCTGGGACACAGTCCTGCCAAGGTGAATGACTCTCTGCCCCTACCTTCTCTGTCCAGGCATCTGAGTGAAATGAGAATGGCCACCTCCTCAGACAGACTCCTCCCTGGGAACACATTGTGTTCCCTCGCAGCAGGTGCCTTGGCCAGGGTGGTTTGAGAGAACACTGATACAATATTCCCAACCCCCCCCCATCTTTGTGATGCTGCCCTTTGGACCTCCTTCCCACCCTGGGCCTGAGCCAGCCTGTGTTTTTTCAGAGCACAGGGACAAGCTCTGCCCACCCACATTCCATCTGCTTCCACACACTGAGGCTTACCAAAGGGACAGATTGCTGTGGTGAGGGGCGAACACCAGCGTGGGGAATGCTGACACCTGGTGGGACATAGGAGGGAAGGCCAGGCAAAGGCCCTATAACAGCATGCACAGTTTTCAACCTTGGTGCCTCGTGGAAACAGGAGTTCAGAACCAGGGCGTGCGGATTCATTTAGAACTGTTTTTGCCCACTTCGGAGAAACAAGTTCTAGAATAGACCTCAGTTATATACCACGGTGTTCAGTTATTCTGATGACTACACTCTTTCTAAGGATCCAGCCTTAAGCTCAGGAAGTATGTTGCCACCATAGACTCGGTGGGAAAGCTTGCCTTGCATACAGTCAGGCAGGACAAGAGGTTTTGTTTTGCCCAACCTACTCCTGGATGTGAACAGTCATGGACTTTTTCCGAGGCCTCCACATGCACAGCTCCTTTACCGCCACTAGATGACGCCAGAGCTCCACCCCAGTCCCTGTAGATGGTCAGTGAAAAAGGACCCACCGCCTAGATTCCTAGGGAAAAGAGAAAGAAACAAAAAGAGAGGTGGAAAGGTGAGGAATAACTTTCGTCCAGGCATACATAAAATCACTTGCCCTGTCTTCCAAGCTAATGTCGGATTATAGTTTATTTCCAGCCACAAGCCGACACACAGAGCAGAAAACCTCCTAACAAAGTTCACAGCAACTGCATATGTGACACGGAACACGGAACCCTAACCAAAGAGTGCTGGTGGCACCCTGTCTGTGTGTCAAAAATGAGCTGCAGTGAATTCTTTCAACGACTTTTTCTGCCGTAATGCTAACGGGCTGTAGAAGTTGTTTTGGCTGTTACTGAACAGTGCAAACCTTGATTCTTCACCCCGTTCCTATTGCTAGTCACAGAATACATCTTTGATTGACATAAGACGAGGTCTAGCTCTTCCTTCCTGTGTACCATCATAGCAGAGCTCCAACAATCAGCTTGACAAGAAACAAGGCCTCGTGAAAATTCTCCTACTGAGGAAGCCAGAGTCATGTCTGCTGCAGGCTCACACACACACACACATACACACACACACACACACACAAACCCAGAAAAACCAGAAGAACAGCCTGGATAACCAGCCTGCCTGGGCTGCCCCCTCTTTACCTCAGCCCCCCCCAACCCCCCCCCCCCAGTTCCTGCTGCCATGCTTCCCAGCAGATAGTACTCCTGCGACTGACTGGAGAAGCCCTTGGTCCTGGCAGTTGGGTCTGGGTAGCTCTCACATTAGGTTAATTCATTGCACCTTCATTTTGTGAAGCAGCAAATGTTATATAAATGATTTACCATTTTCAAGCTGTGATAACATCAGACCCTGGGGAGATAAAGGGCTTTGTGTGAAACCCAATGCCTGGTGTTGGGAGTACGCTAGGCTTTCCTTCTGGCTCAGGGGCTTTAGGCAGGTTTATCTCCCCCTCTCACCGCATTACTTCAGCCGTTCACACCTCTCCTTCCCCCACCAACACTGGCTTCATTCTCTTCCCTGGTTCATGGGGGACTTACTGGAAGGCTGGAGATGGGATCTTGTGTCTCAAGTTGCAATCAGCCTCCGAATTCCACTGGCCTACTCAGTAATCAACAACGACACCAAGGAGCAGTGTTTTCCAGGAGTACAAACATCAACCTCTTCCCAGAGTTGCAGTTCGCATTTTGACAGCTTTTTTTTTTGCCTAAAGGAGCATAGGGGCAGCCTGGAGTCCACAATGGGCAAAGTGTTCACCCTCTGTTCTGCCATCCCAGGAAGCTAAAGTTTTTGTTAATGTACATATAGTTGACTTCAATTTTTTTTATGTTAACAGTAAAAAAAAAAAAGTAGCTCGGACCTAGTGCTTGTTTAGTGTGCTTGTGCTTGAGGTCTTCCGTTCTGTTCTACAGCACTGCAGAAAGGAAAAAATTCTCACTCTTAGTGCCATCCAGTGCACGCTACAGTAGATGACGCTATCATGTGTACCGGTAACTCTGCCTTCACAGATCTAAGTAGCCACTGAGCTAGGTAGAGGCCTATGTTCCCCAGCCTTCCACAGATGCTTCTAGTAAATTTCAGTGGCTAATTGTAATGTTACAGGACCTGTTCTCATTCGTCATAATCTTTATTTCAAACTTTCTTGTCCTCACAATTTCTCTTTGCAGAGGTATTTTGAAGGTTCCCCACTGAGGCTATATCATGAAGTCTCTCCTTTAGGATTTCAGTCAGACATACATAACAGTGTAAACTGAGGCACAACTAAGGAGTTCATGTGGGTCCTTGTACCAACCTGACCACCAGGGCCTCGCAGTGGAAAGGTAGCCTGAGCCCCTGGGACACCTCACTGTCACAGCCCTTTTGCTTTAATTGGGGAAGGGTTCATTTCCTGTCAGATCTGTCCTGGACAGCCTACCACTTTATTCCACTGAGATTCCTGGGACAAGAGGCTCTCCCCACAGGCATCCTGCCTGAGCTTCATTGTGTGTGTTGTTTTGGGTCTGCTTCAAAAAGGAAAATGGCCTTTCATAGTACATACTGCATGTGGGCAGAAATTGGACCAGGCTCTTAGAGTCCTGTGCCCAGATGGAAACTATTCTTGAAGAACACCCACACTCTCCCCAAGAGGGGGTGAGGACATTTTGGGTGGAGCCTCTAAGTCATGGCACCAAAATGTGGCCCCACACTTGCTAGCTGAGTGGACCAGGGGCTCCTACATCTTCCAGAATGCTGCTGTGAGGGATCCTCTTGCCCTAAGGTGAAAATGTCCCAGAAGTTTCTGCTAGGTATAACCCTGAGTTACAAGGGCAGCCAGTGCCACCAGCTGCCAATGGCAAGGTCTACCCTGGATCCCACACTTAGCTCACAGTTGTTAGGACATGAATCTTACAGGATCTCTGCAAACAGGAATGGCGGGCCACAGATAGGATGGGAAGCAGTGTTACCCCTCTTGTCCCCTTTTGTTCCCGGGCCCAGAGTGTCTGATGAATGGAAACCTTAGATTAAAAACAACTTGCACTGATGTTTCAGAGACATCATGTAGCTTTTGAAAACAGAAAAAAGCAGCAGGGGTCTGTTCCAGGGACAGAACCTGGGGCCCTGGATTCAGTTCCCAGCCCCTTAAAAGTAAAGAAAGATGAGGGGTCACACTTGGAAAATAACCCCCTACTATCCCAGGAAAGTAATTCAGCTAATGGGGGGAGCACCCTTTGTCCCCTGTGCCAAGTCCTAGGGACTCCTACCTTGCAGATTCTGCCTCAGATGTCTACTAACAAATCCTTCAAAATATGGGAGATTTGCCATTCTCCTCATTCTGTAAGAGAAGCTGGTATCACAAAACAGCCTGACCAGCAAGATGGTGCATCTGCTAACGGTGTCTGATGACTTGAGTTCCATCCCCAGCATCCACATGATAGGAGAGAACCAACTCAGGAAAGTTGTTCTCTGATGTCCACAAATGCACACACACACACACACACATACACACACACACACACACAATTAACAAGTTAATGAAAAAATTAAAATGTATCATTCATGTTTCTTTCAGAACCGTGGGCCTCATTTTGCTTTGTTTTATTTAATTTGACATATAATGATATTCAGCACTGCTTATATTGGTGCATACATAAGATATTTTGTTGCCTGCAGACAGTGTTGTGACCACCACCCCTGATATTTCTGGCCTCATCTTCCACAGCCCCACATCTGCTTAACAGAGTTTTTAAATGACAGTAAATCACTAGAAATGGGTCACAAGGGGAGATGGTTACTAAAACCTAGTAAGATGTACAAAACTCCATAAAATTTCCTAAGAGAATATTACTCACCCAACATTCTTTTCTCCAAATATAGACACGATATTTGTTTGGTGGGTAGACAGGAAAGCATAGCCAAGCGCTTCTGAAGCCCG